GGACATCGGGTGGGTGGCTCTGTGCCGTGCCAGGTGCAGGGTCTGCTGGCTGGGTGCTGGCAGGCTTGCACCTGGCACGGGCACCGTAGCCAGCCCGTGCCCCTTTAAGGGGTCCAGGGCCGGGAGGGGGGCATAGAGTTTCCCTGGTGTTGGCCAGAGTGGCCACCAGGGAAACCTGGGGAGGGCTAGCCTCCCACTAGTTCGAATTAAGGGGCTACACACCCCTTAATTCGAACTAGTAAGTTCGAACTAGACTTAGTCCTCGTAAAATGAGGTTTTCCTAGTTCGAACTAAGCACTCTGCTAGTTCGATTCAAATTCAAACTAGCGGAGCGCTAGTGTAGCGGCTATGAATGTTAGTTTGAACTAACATTGTAGTGTAGACATACCCCAATGGACTCTTGAGTGCTACTGCTGGCCAAAGAGCAATTGCCAGTGTCATGGGTTGAATCACAGAAGTCCTCTTAAGGTTGTTCCCTGGTGTACTGCTCATGCCACTGATGCCTGCCTTCCCGCTCTCTGGGGTTCCCCACCACTCTGTCCTACTAGGCCAGATCCTCTGGCCTCCCCCACCCAAACCACCAAGTTGTGGTTACCACCCACCTTGCAGACCAACACAGACACTAAACACGTTCAGCTCTGAGAGGGCTCAGCACTGAGGAAACCAAACCCCAAATGGGACTAAATCCAAAATAAATCCAGCTTACCCTGGGTTAAAAGTTTTGCGCAGAGAAAGTTCATAAGGCTCGCTTCCTTTATCAATGAAAGAGAGATATGCACGGTGTTGCACCCTCCCCCCGGTGACAATTATTTACACAGGGCTTGTTAATAAACAAAAGTGTTTTTATTAAGCACAAAAAGTAGGATTTAAGTGGATGCAAGTGAAACCAGTCAGATCAAAGTACGTTGCTAAACAAAAAAAATGTTCAACTACTTTTAAATCTATTAAGAAACTTATTATACGCAAATTCTTATCCTGAACAGCTCAGGTAAAAAGTTTCAAATCAGAGTTGATCTTTATTCTGGCCTGAGTCTACAGCTTTTTAGAGTCCTTTGTTGTGAAGTATCCTCTAAGGGTGAGCCAAAGAGTTTTAAAGGCCAGCTGAAGACAAAGGACTGATGGTTTCCCATTGCTTAAACCAGGGGTGGGCAAAAGGGTTGATCCGGCCCGCAGAGGCTCTGCTGCTTTGAAGCGTTATGTGCTGCTCGTGGGCCGGGAGGAGACATCACATGCTCCCCCGCCCCCAAGCCCTGACTGGCCCGGGAGTTGGGGAGCTGTGCGATGTTTCCTCTGCCCTCCCCCCGCCCTGCGAGGAGTGTGCATCACTTCAAAGTGCAATATGCTTGCACATGGCGGGGGCAGGGAGGACGCTTTGCACAGCTCCCCCGCCCCCAGACCCTGACTGGGCTGCATGTTCCTGGCGGGAGGGGGAGGAGAGAGGGCAGGAGGAGGCTTTGCGTGCTCCCCCGCCCCCAAGCCCTGATTGGCCTGGGGGGGGGGCAGCATGTGAAGCCTCTTCACGCCCTGCCAGAGGCATGGGTGCCTAGTGGGAAGAGGGGGCAAAGGGGTCCCAAAAATTATTGCCCACCCCTGGCTTAAACAGACTTTCCCCCAGGGCGTGAACCCTTTCGTTCGGTACCTCATCCCCATGGAGAAATACCAGGTTTAAGGTGGTGTGGAAGCCTCTCCGTTCTGAGTGTGTGCAGGGCCCAACGCCTTAAGGCCCGATCTCCAACAGATTCCGACAGCAGAAGACATGGTTATATGTCTTTCTATGACCAACCACAGATTGTTGGTTTGAGTACCGAGTCATTAAGATCCAGAGCGTCAGGGCTCTGCAGCATGTTGGAACTGTAAACAGATCCACACTTCAGACTTCATCACTCTGATTTCACAAACAAGAATGATACATGCACAGAAATAGGATTTGCAGATTGTAACATGAACATTGATGTTACATTGAGGTATTTTGTCTAAAGCATCTTCAAGTTATGCATATTTATAAGCCGATTTTCATAAAGCATGGGGGAGAGGGGCTGAGTGCTGCTACTGCAAACAGTACTCTCTCCGGGTATGTCTACACTAGAAAGTTAGTTCGAACTAACGGACGTTAGTTTGAACTAACTTTCCTAGGCGCTACACTAGCGCTCCGTTAGTTCGAACTTAATTCGAACTAACGGAGCGCTTAGTTCGAACTAGGTAAACCTCATTTTACGAGGACTAACGCCTAGTTCGCACTACCTAGTTCGAACTAAGGGCTGTGTAGCCCTTTAGTTCGAACTAGTGGGAGGCTAAGGCTTCCCAGGTTTCCCTGGTGGCCACTCTGGCCAACACCAGGGAAACTCTATTGCCCCCCTCCCGGCCCCGGAGCCCTTAAAGGGCCACGGGCTGGCTACTCACTTTGTGCCAGTTGCAAGGCTGCAAGCACCCGTGCCTGCACAG